AGGCTCGGGGAGGGGGTAAGGGGGTGGCTGGAGCGGGGACAGACCCGCAGCGAAGAACCCAAAGTCGAAGGGGGACCCTTTCCAGACCCCGGAGCGGTGCGAGATGTTGCCTGCGTTGCTTTGGTCAGCCTGTCAAATTAGTACACCCTTTAAAAAAAAAAATAAATAAAATATCACATTGACACCTGACATTAATTGTAAAATTAATTGTAAAAACAGACAGTTCAAATTTCTGGAGGTTATTTTTATGCGAAGCTAAATTTACGTGCGAGTGCCTCAGACTATTTCCATCGCGGAGTGTAGCTCGTGCATTACTGCACCGTGTGGTTATTTTTTCCTTTGGAAGAAAGGAAAGAGACAACAGATCGATATACGCTTGCACACACGAACATGGCTAGTGAGCAGAAATTACTGGTGTGCATTAGAAGAGGACTGGCAGCATTACCGCATACAAATGGAAGAGCAAGTCGGTGGTGGATTTTCATCTACTTGATCCAGCCTCTGCAAGCAAGTTATTGCACACCATTAACTCCTTAGGTCCTCCTCCCTTTAGCCCCTTTGCTTGCACAGGACACCAAAAAGGTTTCCCATCTACTGGTGGCTCTGGATTCCTTTTGTAGGGCTTCCCCCAGCCCTGCTCTGAGGGATCCCCGGTACCCCCATGGCCCTGCAGCCTCCCCAGGTGACACCTCATCCTCCTGTCTGACCCGACTGTTCCTTGCTGAAACATGAACCTGGTGCTCCCTGCCCGGGGAAGTCTCCTCTTCCTGTGTTGCAGTGCCTTTTTCCATCTGATGGCTGTCGTCATCTCTCTGCACCATGTTTTCTTTATGACAACCAGCTGCAATTTGCCCACCTCTCCTGCTGTCTCCTTGGCCACCAATTGCCCCCAGCTGTCCTCTGCTGTCCCCTCAGCTGCTGCCTGCAGAATGCCCTGAGTGGTGCCCCAGCCTCTGTCTGTGCACAGGATTAACCTGCCTGCAAAAACAACCCCTCTTCTTGCTTCTCAGTCACGTTCTGTGCTCTCCAAACATTTTTTTAGGATTATTTTGAATTATTTCATCCTCCAATGTACTTGCAGTTGCCCCCCGATTAATGCCATCTCTGAAGGCCGCTAATGAAACATTATGAAACAAACATAACGAAACTAACCCAGGACAGATCCCTTTGGAATTGCATCTGTAATTCACCCGTTTGCCAGTAAACCACTTACGACTGCTGTTTCCATAGTTTTGTATCTGCTACCCAACATTTTCACGTAAACTGAGTTCCCTCATTTATGAATGAGAGTGCAGAGCCTATTCAAAGCACAAGGATTGCAGCCCTTGCCAGTTTCATCCATAACAAGTTCTGTTCCACTACCACCAAAGGAAATTTGACCAGCTTGTCCCAAGTTCTTGTTGACAAAAAAGTTGTTACCATATTAATAGTTGCTTATCTCAGCGTTTCCTTCTATCTGTTTACAAATAATGTGTGTATTTGTACTAGGTGCTTTCTGGGCAAAAAAGTCTGGCTGGCTATTTATTTATTTTAATGCCCTTTTTAAAGTTAGGCACCAGTTTTGCCTTTTTCTATCAGCAGGGTCCTTGGCCATCTTCACGAAGCTCTCAGAGACAAACACTTGTGTTTCCAATGCTGTTTGAGCCACTTCCTTCAGTACCCTGGCATGAAATCCAGCCAGCTTGTAGGTTTGAACACCTCTAAGTTATCTAAGTACTCTTGCAACTGGTTCTGTCCCAGTCTGGGCTGAAACCTCCTTCCGTTGTCATTAATATGTATTATGTCATTCACCTGATCACAAGTGACCTCTTTTAGCCAAGGCTGGTGAAAGAAAGAAAAAAAAAAAAGGCCTGAGGCACCCTGAGCCTTCTCAGCACCAGTCGATAGCTTTCTCTCTCTGATGAGTAATCCAATCCACTAGCTCTTGACTTCCTCTTACCACTGATGTACTTACCAAACGATTTCTTGTTACTTGTGATGCTCTTGCTACTTTTTATTTGTTGTATTGGCTTTTTTGTCTTTGTCCCCATCTGCTCTTGCTGAGGCTGGTACTTCTGCACTTTACCCTACGGAAACCTGATCTGATTTCTCTGTGCTTCCTTTTCATGTCATGAGCTCATGATTTAGCCCAATCGGTTGCTTCCTACCCTTCCTAGATTTCTTCTGCGATGGGATTGTTCGGGACAGGTCTTCTAGAAACTCCCAGCTCCCAACCACTTGCTCTCTTTCCCCACAAAGGGGAAGAGGCCTTGGGATGGCTTGGAGAGGGCAGGGAGAAATGGAGAGGGCAAGAGGATTTTGGGAAGGGAGGTCTCAAGTTGAAGTTTTGAGGGAAGAGAAACCTGACTGAAGAAAGCAAAGAAAACTTGAAAGAGATGGGAGGGAAGAGCCCTTACAGAAGGAAGTAGGTGTTCCGTGAATGGGGATATCTGTAAAAACAGAACGAAGTCATGGAGTACAACAAAAAGCCCATAACGAGAGGTGACAAACCTTACTAAAGCCGAGTAAACATTTTCATCCCAAACGCCTCTTCTGGGCTGCTCCTACATGCTGAGATTTTGTTTGGAACTGAAAAAATTCAAAGCTAGCATGTTCCTGAGAGTTATGTACTTTTACACAGTAGAAGTTCTCCTGCCCTTGAAACAGTGATCCTCAAGAGACTGTACAAGAAAGCTAAGGACAAAAAAAGGAAAGAAAATGCATTTCTAGGAGTTAAGAAATAAATTTTTGATGAAATAAGTACTTAGAAGCAAAACTTCATGGAAAAACGTCTTTCAAATAACAGAAATGCCTTTACATATTCTTGTGAAAAATGTTTTTGGTTTGAATGAGGAAATGAGAAAGATTTGAAAGGAATATTCCAGCTGCGTGGCGGAGCCTACACATGAGTAAATGCTGAAGTTAAGATTACAGAGGCAAGTCTCTCTCTTCTATGCAAGGCTTCACAAGATGCTGTGTTTCATGATCAAGCATGGTTTCTCCAACAGTGCCTTTTTGACCCCAGAGAGAAGACCCCAAAGACGCTTTGGGGTGCCTCTTTCCTAGAAGACAAAAAAATACCATTTAACAGACAAGTTGCATTCAAGAACAGAACGAATCAATGCCTTTTGGCTTATTTTTTCCACATTCACTGAGGAATATATTGAGGAAATTGTATACCATTATAACCTGGCTCCTCAACAGTTTGGGGAGGAGGAGCAGAAAGGATGGCTTTGGTCTCCTCTGACAGGAGGATCCCTATCGTAATGCAGAGCGAGGAGCCCCAGGGATGGGTGGACAGGGCGGCAGTGGAAGTTGGTGAACTTTGCCCCACTGCAGAGCACAATCCCCATTGCAGAACGAGCATCCTGCCTGTCAGCACCCCGACACAGCTTAGAGCATTTGGAGCCAGGACCTAGGGAAATATCACCATGTTTAAAGAGAGGAGGAAAAAAAAATATTAAAAAAA